CTGTCTTACCTCTAATTCTTTCAATTATAACCCTACCGTATACTTTTCCTGGTATACTCAGTAAACTTATTCCTCTATAATTTTTACAATCTCTTTTGTCCCCTTTCCCTTTATATAAAGGGACTATACATGCTCTCCGCCAATCCCTAGGTACCTTCCCCTCTTTCATACATTTATTAAAACAAAAGTACTAACCACTCCAACACTATATCCCCCCTACTTTTAACATTTCTGTCATGATCCCATCAGTTCCAGCTGCTTTACCCCTTTCATTCTATGTAATGCCTCACGTACCTCCACCACACTTACATTCTGCTCTTCTTCACTCATAAAAGATGGTATACCTCCATGGCCGTGCATGAATTACGCCTGCCTTCTTCCTCACATTAAAAGTTCCTCAAAATATTCTCGCCATCTACCTAATACCTCCCCTCTCCCCATCTACCTAACTCCCCTCTCTGTTTTTAACTGCACTCCCAAAAATAACTGCAAAATAACCTTGTTTCCCTCCCTCCAAAATTTTTTCTTATTTTATTAAAAATTTCTTGACAGCCACGCACACAAAACCCCTCTCCCCTCCCCCATCCACACCCACTCTTCACTGCTTCCTTTTGCACTCTCTCACCACTCTCTTCCACCTTTTCCTTTTACTCTCCATATTACTCTGCTCTTCTTATAACACTTCTGCTTTGTAAAAACTCTCGTAAGCTACCTTTTTTCTTTTTATCACACCCTTTACTTCATCATTCCACCAGTATCACTCCTCTTTCTCCTGCCCCACCCTCTATAGATCCACAAACTTCTGCCCCACCTTCTAATACTGCATTTTTAAAACTATTCTGCCCTCTTTAACCCCCCCCATACTCATCTTTGCACTAGCCACCTTTCTGCAAATAGTCTCTTATTCTCGCCAATTCTTCCTCCTCCCCTAGTTTATACACTTTCCCTCCCTCATACTTGTTGTTGCCACCTTCCTTCTTTCCCATCTACCTCTTATGACTAACTGTAGCTACAACTAAATAATGACTCCGATAGTATCAGTTCCCCTATAACATGTACATCCTGGATCCTACCATCAACCTTTAATCACTAATACATAATCTAAACAAACTACTTTCATTACGTGCTACTCATACCTTGTATATTTATTTATCTCTTTTTCATAAAAATATGTATTCTTATTACCAAATTTCTTTCTACACATAGCTCAATAACTAAGGGATGAGAGGAAGTGTCGGGCGAGATATAAGAGACTTTGGCAGAAAGGTGGGATAGCTGCATAGATGAGTAATGGGGGGTTGAACGAGGGTTGAATAGTTTTAAAATGCTAATAGTATTAGAATGTGGGCAGAAAGCTTTGTGGGTTATAGGAGGGTGGGCAGGAGGAAAGTAGGAGTGAATTGGTGGAATGATGAAGTAAGGGTGTGATAAAGAGAAAAGGTAAGCTCTAGCTTATGAGAGGTTTTTTACAAAGCAGAAGTGTTATAAGAAGTGCTAGAATATTGGAAGAGTAAATAGAAAGGTAAAGAGAGTGAGTGAGAGAGTGCAAAGGAGAGCAGATGATAGAGTGGGAGAGGCACTGTCAAGAAAATTTTAATGAAAATAAGAAAAAAGTTTTTGGCAGTGAGTTAAACTGTAGTTAAGAAAGCCAAGGGAAAAATATGATTTGTCAGTTGAAAGTCAGAGTAGGCGGGTATGTTAGTAGATGGGGAGCATGGAGGTATTAGGTAGATGGCGAGAATATTTTTGAGAACTTTTAAATGTTAAGGAAGAAACAGAGGCAGTAATTTCATGCATGGTCAGGGAGGTAATATACCATCTTTTTAAGAAGTGAAGAAGAGCAGAATGTAAGCTGTGGGGAGGTACGTGGGCATTTACGTAAATGTAAGGGGTAATAAACAGTGGTACTGATGGGCTCCCATTTGACGCAAATGTAAAGCAGGGGGTGGATTATGTGTTGGAGTGGTTGGTACTTTTGTTCAATAAATGTATGAAGAGGGGAAGGTACCTAGGGATTGGCGCTCCGGAGAAGAGCAAGTTAGTCCTTTATATAAAGGAAAGGGGGACAAAAGAGATGTAAAAATTATAGAGGATAAGCTTAATGACGGCTATTACTAGGAAAAGTTTGACGGTAGGGTTATATTGAAGAATTAGAGGTAAGACAAGAATGTAGGATTTGCTGATGATCAAGAGGTTTCCAGAGTGGGTAGGGGCATGTGTAGATCAAGTGTTTACAATTGAAGCATATATGTGAAAAACAGTATTAAGACTAAAGGTAGGGAAGTTTTATTGCATTTATGGATTTAGAAAAGGCATATGATAGAGTGGATAGTAGGAGCAATGTGGCAGATGTTGGCAAGTATTATGAATAGGTGGTAAGTTTATTAAATGCTGAAAGAGTTTTATGAAGATAGTGAGGCTAGGTTTACGGGTGCGTAGAAGATGAGAGAGGGAGACTATTTCCCGGTAAAGTAGGTCTTAGGACAGGGGATGTGTGATGTCACATGGTTAGATGTTTAATTTATTTATAGATGGGTTTAAGGAAGTTTAAAAAAAAAAAAAAATTTTGGCTAGGGTGTTTGGAGAAGCGTGGTGGGATTTTAAATTATGGGATCAATTCAAAATGTGACATTGACACAGTTACTTTTTGCTGATGAATTACTGTGCTTATGGGATGCTTCTACAGAAGAAACATTGCAAAGGTTAGTGGATGAGTTTGGGGAATGTGTGTAACGGTGAAAGTTGAAAGAGTGACTTAGAAAAGAGTTCAGGTGTGTGGATGCTGGTTGTCAAAATGATTTAGATAAAGAAAAATTGGATATCAAATTGGGAGAGAGGGGTAGTGATAAGATGTGAATGTTTTCAGATAATTGGGACGTTGGACGTGTCGGCGGATGGAATTTATGAAGGATGGTGTTAATTCATAGAATTGATGGGAAAAAAGGTGATGTGTGCTTTGAGAGTATATGTGGAACGTCAAAAAACGTATTATGGAGGCAAAGAAGGAATGTATGAAAGTATCGTAGTACCAAACAATTTATAGGGTGTGAAGCTAGGTGGTAATGCAGCAGCGAGGAGACGGGTGGAGGCAGTGGAGATGTCCTGTTTTAAGGCAATGTGTGGGGTAAATATAATGCAGAAAATTCTGAGTGTGAAATTAGAGAAGGTGGGAGTTAATAAAAGTATTAGTCAGAGGAGAAGAGGGGTGTAAAGGTGGTTTGGTCATTTAGAGAGAATGGATCAAGTAGAATGCATGGAAAGCATTTAAATCTATAGGGAAGGAAGGCGGGGTAGGGGTCGTCCTCGAAAGGGTTGGAGAGAGGGGGTAAAGGAGGTTTTGTGGGTAAGGGGCTTGGACTTCCAGCAAGCGTGCGTGAGCGTGTTAGATAGGAGTGAAAAGAGACGAATGGTACTTGGGACCTGACGATCTGTTGGAGTGTGAGAGGGTAATATTTAGTGAAGGGATTCAGGGAAACGGTTATTTTATATAGTCGGACTTGAGTCCCGGAAAAAGGGAGTACAATGCCTGCACTTTAAAGGAGGGGTTTGGGATATTGGCAGTTTGGAGGGATATGTTGTGTATCTTTATATGTGTATGCTTTAGACTGTTGTATTCTGAGCACCTCTGCAAAAACAGTGATAATGTGCAAGTGTGGTGAAAGTGTTGAATGATGATGAAAGTATTTTCTTTTTGGGGATTTTCTTTCTTTTTTGGGTCACCTGCCTCGGTGGGAGACGGCCGACTTGTTGAAAAAAAAAAAAAAAAAAAAAAATAGTCAATTAAGGTTCCCATTTACATTTACCCCTGGCACCCCAAATTTACCTATACTCCTCTATAACATTTTTACCACTTTAGCATTGAAATCCCCAACCATTACTCTCACATTGATTCAAAACTCCCCCCGCATTCACTCAACATTTCCCAAAAACTCTCTCTTCCTCTACCTTCTCTCTTCTCCAGGTGATACATGCTTACTATAACCCCCTTTTCCATCCAAACTTTATTTTACTCCACATAAACCTTGAATTTATACATTTGTAGTCCCTCTTTTCCTGCCATAGCTTATCCTTAAATTATTGCTATTCCTTCTTTAGCTCTAACTCTATTTGAAACCCTGACCTAACCCCATTTATTCTCTCCATTGAAACTCTCCACCCCCTTCAGCTTTGTTTCACTTAAACCAGGACATCCAGTTTTTCTCATTCAAAACATCCACAATCATCTCTTTCTTATCATTTGCACAACATCCATGCACATTCAGACTTCCCACTTTGACAATTTTCTTCTTCTTATTCTTTTTAGTAATCTTTACAGGAAAAGGGGTTACTACCCCATTGTTCCCGGCATTTTAGTTGACTTTTACAACACGCAGGGCTTACGGGGAAAAGATTCTTATTCCATTCCCCATGGATAAAAAAGGAAAAGCAATAAGCCCAAGAGCTATTAAGATACAATCAAAGAAAACTCAGATGAGTGTGTATAAATAAACGTGTACATGTATGTGTAGTGTGACCTAAGTGTAAGTAGAAGTAGCAAGACATGCCTGTAATCTTGTATATTTATGAGACAGACAAAAGACACCAGCAATCCTACCATCATGTAAAACAATTACAGGCTTTCATTTTACACTCACTTGGCAGGACGGTAGTACCTCCCTGGGTGGTTGCTGTCTACCAACCTACTACTATATAAATTACTACTATATAAATTAATAAATAAATGCTGTAGCGCTTGCCCAATAGTTCAACCTGGATTGAAGCTTAGATTCCAGGTTATAAATGCAAACCATGCAAAATTAAAACTGTGATATCAATCAAACATTGAAGGAAAATTGTAATTTACACACGTATTGACTTAAGTGATGAGAACCGTTAAAATGAGAGATGGTGAAAGATTGTGAGCATTCAGAACACAGGCAAACAGCACCTGCTGACGTGGTCATGCGTGTATATCGTAAACCCTGATGATTGTTTTCATATGATTGGATATTCTATCGTGATCACATCCCTCGTGTGATGGGCACTACATGCAAAAAACATAACTTATTCATTTTTTAAAAAGCATTTTTGTTGTACCTGGGCTGTTTACCATCAAGAAAGGGTGGACCAAAGAAACTAACTCATTCACCACTGCATAACCAAAAAAAAAAAAAAAAAAATATACAAAAGCCCGAAGACTTACAGAAAAAATCATATCTTCAGTAAGTGCTTTTCAATTAAAAAAATAAAAATAAAATTCTGAGCATAAAAATTTAAAGGAAACAGCCGCTGTTAAGTCACAGAGGGCCAAAATCACCTCTAAACTTGTTTTTTGCATTGTTCTCATCTTGTCTTCAAAAGCTTTCTTGGAAGGCTCCACTGGACATCTTGATTGGTCTTGCTGGGAGACCTAAAAGCCATGAGTTTAACATTGAGAAAACCCAGGCATACACAGCTTTCTTTTGCAAGTCGCAACTTTTGCTCATAAAAGGTTGATATGAAGCCTTTCTTTTCTAATAAAATGCATTATTATGATCATAACATGCCTATATGAAGCACTGTTTAGGTCATACAAGACTGATGTGAAGCATTATTTTGGCACTGAAATTTAGTACTTTTATATATAATATGACATTGAAACACTTATATGAAGCATTTTTCTGTGACGAAATCCTAAAAGAAGCTTTATTTTGGATATGAAATACATATATTAAACAGTATGCTAGTAATGATGTAACATTGTTGTGGTCATGAAATCCATATATGAAACAGTACCAGTATGATGATAATAAAATACTTATATGAAGTATTATTTCCTTGACAAACAAAGTTGATATAATTGCTATATAATATGTTTCATAAGCTATTCGATATATTCTATTTCTGTTTAAACTAAGCAAGTAATTTTAAATGATCTAAATAATCTATAGAATCGAAGATTAATTATATTTTTAATAGTAGCATGCCTTTAAAAATTACCATTAGAGGTACTAAACCACATCATAATTAACTAAACTCTATTCAATTTAATTGCATATCTGCAATTACAACTTCAAATTAATAGATAACTACTACAATAAGAGTTTATGCTTGCTTTCAGAATAGTAATTTCATAAATCGAAAATTACTGGTTATTTGAGAATCTAACTGTGCTAGTTTTCTTTATAAAAAAAAAAATTGCTTGAAAGAGAAAACTAGTTCATTTTGTATTTTAAATTTAATTAAAATTTCTTCTAAATACTGTCTATATATGTACAAGCTGAAGCAGCCCAGTTGGTCTTGAATAAACTACAAAATTTATAAAGACCCCCATAGGCTCATCATAGGGGACTGATATGCGCTATGATGCTTAAAAGGTAACTTCACATACACACACTTGCTGTAATGGCATGGCACTGGAAAATGTCAGATTTATCAGCTTTCTGCTTACTTTTGCAAAAACAAACACACACACACACACACACACACACACACACACCACACACACACCACTGTTGCAACCCCTGAATGGGTTGCAATGTATATTATGTATATTACATGTATATTACCTTTTCATATAATTTTATATTGCTTATATTTGCGATAATAGCTAAATCGTGAATATATTGCTTTATATTATTATTTGACTTAGTTAAATTTTGTTAGGTAGGATGTAACATATTATTATGTGCTCAGTTCAAGTCTTGATTGTCTAACTACTGTAATTATCGCTCTTTGCTCGTCACTCTGCCGGCTTCTGTTGCTGAGCTGCAGCTGTCCACGGAGCTATCACGTGATCGAGGGGGGGGTGATCACACCTCGCCTGAAGTATTCAGTCTGGTCTAGACTCTCTTGGTTGTTGGACGTATTCCAGACAAAGTGCCTAAATGTCTCTTATAGGCCCTTGTTGGAATATCGTCTCTAGCTTTCTTGTAGGTTCTGTGGGACTCTGTTCACAGAACATTGTATAGACTTAGTGATTTTCGACGTTGTACTGAGGTTGTGTTGCAAAGACACTCTGAGCAACTCAGGTCCTGAGCTGTAGCTTCTGACCTAACTTGTACTGGTATCTGTGTACTATCACAGTCGGTGATTTTCTTATGCTGAACTTAGATTCAGTATTATGGGGGTTTTATGATTTTTGTGGAGGATCTGCTGATGGTCCCTACTTAGTGTCGTTATATTATCTCCTTGATCCTGATTGTGTCGCAGTTGCTTGTTATATTGCTACTGGGCTTAGCATTCTTTTTATTGTTCAAGCAGACTGTTCTGATAGCCAGTTGGTCAAGAAGTTAGTTTATTTGAGGACTTTGTCAGTCACTTGTTTAAGTCTAGTCGAGTCGTGGGGACATAGCGAACTACTTTGGGGACTTCACACATACACACAAAACTTATTTGTACATATTTGTAATATCTTATTAAATGTTAATGTACCAGATGGTACTTAAGACTTATATATGTGATATGTGCTTTCAGCACAATAATACTGTACACGAGAGAAGTGATTATTCTTATTTTGTTGATTACTGTGATTAATTTAATTTGATATATGCCTAGACAACTTAATTAATAAATTTATT